AAAAAAAAAAAAAAAAAATTATTCCAGATTTACAAAGAGTGACAAAAAGCATAAAGAATATGGCATATGACAACATCTTTCATAGCTATAGTAAAATGGTCAAAGCCAGAAAGTGGATGTGGGCGTAGCGCTAGAAAACAGCTGTTTCGGAATCTGCAGAGCTTGTTCACTTTTTGCCAACTGTCCCTCCCAAGTCCTCCCACTGGCCCCATCTCCTGCTCAGCCAGTTTTGCCTCCCCTGGTCCTCGCCTCTCCCTTTCCACAGGGACTCCTGTGTGTGTGTGTGTGTGTGTATGTGTGTGTGTGTGTGTGTGTGTGTGATGGAGTCTTGCTCTGTTGCCCAGGCTTGAGTGCAGTGGCACAACCTCGGCTCACTGCAACCTTTGCCCCCCAGTTCAAGCAATTCCCCTGCCTCAGCCTCCCGAGTACCTGGGATTACAAGTGCCCACCACCACATCCAGCTAATTTTTTTGTATTTTTAATAGAGATGGGATTTCGCCATATTGGCCAGGCTTGTTTCCAACTCCTGACCTCAAGTGATCTGCCCACCTTGGCCTTTCAAAGTGCTGGGATTACAGGGGTGAGCTGCCGCGCCCGGCCTCTTCTCTGTATTTCATGAGATCATGTCCAGACGTAAAAACTCAGATTTCCCTATGTCCATGGTAACCACATCCCCAGAGCTCCCCATCAGGAAAGCAGAGACCCTCTCAGCATCTCCCACATGCAAGACAGTTGCGGCCATGGGCTCTCCATGCCTGCCTCTCCCAGGGTTCCAGAAATAAAGAAGGAGCCCAGGCTGGGCATGGCGACTCATGCCTGTAATCCCACACTGGGGCATCCGGTACAGCTCCAGCACCCAGACTCCATGCTGCAAGGCCTTGGGGATCCTGCCCTTTTGATCCAAGCCCTCCAAGCACACACTCACACATGCATAAACACATATTCACACCTATTCACGTGCACACACATGCACACATGCAGCATACACTCATGGAAATGGATATACATGCAGTCATGCACACACACATGCATACACACGTATTCACAGTCACCCACATGCAAACACATGCACACAGGCAGCATACACTCACACTCATGGAAACATATATACATGCCCACAGGTATGCACACACACATGCATATGCACATATTCACACTCATCCACATGCAAACACATACACACACATGCACACATGCAGCATACACTCATGGAAATGGATATACATGCACACAGTCATGCACACACTCACACATGCATACACACATATTCACACCCATACACATGCAAACACATGCAAACACATGCACACATGCAGCATACACTCATAGAAACAGATATACAGGCACACAGTCATGCACACACTCACACATGCATATGCACATATTCACACTCATCCACATGCATGCACATGCACACAGGCAGCATACACTCACACTCACAGAAACACAGGTATACATGCACACAGGTGTGCATACATGAAGACATACACATACATGTACATAGCCATCACACACATGCACACATGTTTGCACATGCACACACATGCACACATAAACACATGCACATGCATACACACACTCGTGCACACACCCACACATGCATACACAAGCACACAGACATACTCGTCCACATGCAAACACATACACACACTTGCACACAGACATGCAGAAACAAGCCTCAGAAGGCAGACTGAAGCCAGAGACAGTCTGAGCTTGCCTCCTGGTGGCCCCGGTTCGTTCCTTTCTCACTCTCCTGCTAAGTCTGGACTTTTCTTATTTCCATCAGAATGAGTGTGTAGGCCATTGGCCCTGTCTTCCTTCAACCTACCTAAGTGTGTCATAATGCTGACTTTTCTTTTCTTTTCTGAGACAGCGTCTCACTCTGTTGCCCGGTTGGAGTGCAGTGGTACCATGTCATTGCAACCTCCACCTCCTGGGTTCAAGCGATTCTCCTGCCTCAGCCTCCCAAGTAGCTGGGATTGCAGGCGCCCACAACCATGTCAGGCTAATTTTTGTATTTTTAGTAGAGATGGGGTTTTGCCATGTTGGCCAGGCTGGTCTTGAACTCCTGTCCTCAAGTGATCTGACCGCCTCGGCCTCCCAAAGTGCTGGGATTACAGGCGTGAGCCACCTCGCCCTGACTTTTCTCTTTCTTTCCTCTCCTTCTCTTCTTCTCTCTCTCCCTCCCTCTCTCTCTCTCTTTCTTCCTTTCTTTCTCCCCTCCTTTCTTCCTTCTTTCCTTCTTTCTTTCTTTCTTCCTTCCTTTGTTCCCTCCCTTCGTTCTTTCTTTCCTTTCTTTTCTTTCTCTGGCTCTGTCACCCAGGCTGGGTGCAGTAGCACAATCACAGCTCACTGTAGCCTTAAACTCCTGGGTTCAAGCGATTTTCCCACCTCGGCCTCCTGAGTAGCTGGGACAACAGGCACATGCCACCATGCCGGGCTAATTTCCTTATTTTTTGTAAAGATAGGATTCTGCCATATTGCCCAGGCTAGTCTCAAACTCCTGGCCCCAAGAGATCCTCCCACCTCGCCTCCCAAAATGCTGGATGGCAGCTGTAAGCCGGCACGACCGACTCTGGTAATGCAGTCTTTGTAACCAGCCGAGCACCAGCCCTACTCTCCAAACGGGCTCTGCAGTCTAGGGACAAGTCCTCGGCCCCTGAAATGCACAGGAGGAAGGGAGTGAAGTGGACAAATGAAGGACACAGTCAATATTGAGAATCACCACAGTGATGGCACCCACAAGCCCTCCTCACGCAGCCCTGCCCTGGATGTGACTCTGTTGGTCACCACAGCACTCTTTCAGGGTGGTGTCAGCACCCGCAGCGGACAGAGTGGCTCAGGGCTCACACCAGGCCCCTCAGCTCACGCCCATCAGACTTGGGGTTCAAGCTCAGATCTGTTTCCAAGCGAGAGTGCAACCACCCTGCCCAAAATCAGCCAGTGAAGGCTAACCGAAGGACTGCTAGGAGACAGATGTCTCACTGCATAGATCTCAACTGGGCAATTCCAGAGTGGGGGGGCCCCACCAGCCACCCCGTTCCTACAGTGTTGAGAACACATGGACAAAGCCTCAGCTCAGGGCTTCGTGCTAGGGTCCTGGGTTTGAGGGGCAGGATGTGCCTCATCGAGGCTCCCTGCTCACCGCGCCATGGCTCCGTCTCATCGCTGCCGGCGGGCGGCTGCTGCTTCTCTTCTCTTCGCTCCCTGTCTTCTTCCAGCCGTCTTTTGTTCTTTTCCCTTTGACGTTTCCAGAAGATACAGAGGCCTCCAGCTGTCAGGAGTCCCACTGCCACGAGGACCAGAGGCAGAGCCGCTTTCCATGCCGTGAACCCGGAGCTTCTGGAAAAGGTAGCTGGAGAAGATTCCAGAAGCCAAGAATGTTGGGGTGAGAGGTCATGGGTGTTCTGAGGTCAAACTCGCTAAAGGGTTCACGGGTCTAGGGGCATCATATTTGCAAACTACTGTGAAATAGTTTCCAAAAAAGTATGTATCTGTGCAGGTGGTGCTAGGGACTGAATGTCTGTGTCCCCCAAAGTTCCCAGGTTGAAATCCCAACCCCCACGGTGATGATGTTAGGAGGCGAGGCCTTTGGTAGGTGAAGAGGTCATGAAGGTGGATTCCCCATAACGGATATGATGGGAATGGTGCCTTCATAAGAGGGACCCCAGAGAGCTCCCTCACCCCTTCCACCACGTGAGGACACAGTGAGAAGGTGCCGCCTATCAACCAGGAGGTGACCTCGCCGGACACCAAATCTGCCATACCTTGATCTTGGACCGCCCCGCTCACAAAACTTATGATAACTATCTCATCTCTCAGCCACCCCATCTGTGGTATTTTGTTATAGGACCCAAAATGGACCGAGGCAGTTGGGTATATAAACACATGCATAGGAAATGGATATCAGATGTATGCGTAGGAAATAGACATTAGATATATACATAGGAATAGAGGTCAGACATGCGCAGGAAACAGAGGTCAGACGTGCGCAGGAAACAGGTGTCAGATGCCGGTGTGGGAAATGGACCTTAGATGTCTATTTGTCGATAGACAAAGAGAGAGACGATAAAAAGAAATATTGCACTAAGGTGAAAATGTGGTGAACCTGAGTAAAGGGTGCACAGACAACTTCTCTATTACTCTTGCAAATGTTCTGTAAGTTTGACATAATTTAGAAAAGTAAAAGTGAAAGTTTTTGTCAAAAGGTAAATCTGGAAGCAACCAAGATGTTTTCCAGTAGGTGAATGGATCAAGAAACAGTGCTGCAGTGGCTCACGAATGCAATCCCAGCACTCTGGGAGGCCGAGGCGGGTGAATCACGAGGTCAGGAGTTCAAGACCAGCCTGACCAACATGGTAAGACCCCGTCTCTACTAAAAATACGAGAATTAGCTGGGCATGGTGGTGAGCACCTGTAGTCCCACCCACTCCAGCGGCTGAGGCAGGAGAATCGCTTGAACCCGGGAGGCAGAGGCTCAGTGGCTGAGATCACACCACTGCACTCCAGCCTGGCAACAGAGTGAGACTCCGTCTTAAAAAAGAAAACAGTCTATTTTTTAAAAACCATTGATATTAGGGTGTACATTTCTTGTTACCCCAAAGGCAAAGTTCTCCCCAGGTTCTCTGCACCCTCATCTCTGTTCCACTTCAGTAATCAGCACCCAGGCGATACATGTCCCGGGACGCCCCAGCCAGGTGAGGACAAGGACCTGCCACCTGTCCCCTCGTGCCACAAGTCCCATAGCTGTGTGTTAGTATCCCCAGTGTCCAGGGCCATGGACACCTGTGCTCAGGGATTGTGAGGACAGACCTGAAGAGAGCACTCACCGGGCAGGCGGCTTTCAGCCACCTTCCTCTGCTCGGGGAGGAGGGGGCTGGAGATGGAGCAGGAGAGACCCTCCACAGCCCTGTCCCAGAGGGTCAAGCTGGACGCCACAGCCCAGAGCCCGGTGGTGGCTGAAGCTGAGAGATTTGTCACAGCAGGCCTCGCCTGGCCCCTGAAGTCTCTCCATTCCACCCGGGGCTCAGGGAACCAGCCTGCCGACGTGCACTCCGCCCTGACTCCATCCTGCCTGGCCATCACCTGGATTCTGGGCTCCGTGCCCAGCCCTGAAGGAAGAGACAGCGGCTTGAATCCCTGCAGCCATGGCTGCTTCTACTTAAAGGAAAAAAAAAAAACAGTCTTAAGGATTTCCAGGGTATTTTTGGCAGTTTCACAAACTGCCTACCCTGTCAAACGCCATCCCTAGCAGAGTGCCCCCATTTCCCAGACGAAAGAGGGGAAGCCCAAGCAGAAGGCCCAGGAGGACTGAACACACATCCCGTGTCCCGGACGCAGAATCCAGGTCGCAGAAGGGACCCAGGCTTGTCTGCTTCCAAGCACAAGCTCTGGGTCGCCCGGGAAGCCCCCGGATCCCCACTGTCTTCTCTCTCTCGGTCCCTCTGTCTCCTGTCACTTTCCCTCTCTCTCTCTGTTGCTTACTCTCTTTCCCATGTTCTCTCTCTGTCATTCGCTTTTACTGTCTCTCTGTCTCTGTCTCTATCTCCCTCACTCTTTCTGTCGCTGACTCTCTCTCTGTCTGTTTCTCTCTCTGTGTCTCTCAGTTTCTTGTTCTCTCTGTCTCTCTCCCTCTGTCTGTCTCCCTGCCTCTCTCTCGTCCTCTCTGTCCAGCTCTGTCTCTTTCATTCTCCACATCTCTCTCTTTCTCTTCCCTTTCTTCCCCACT